GGATTGTAAGGATTGGATTCTTGAGAAACTCGATGACTTTGTGATGCCCCTAATCTCAACTCCGTAAGTCCAAATAGGTGTTATTGTAGTCATGTATATGAGTCTTTTGTAATTAATTGGAAGGTTAGAGCGTTTGTCTAGTAAGTGCTGAAGTAGTCGGAAACGTCGAGCGGTTTCTTGTCGTTTCAGTCTGGTATGAGGATTTCAAGTTAGACGTATGTCCAAGATATCGGATTTGTTCTACAGGAATAAGTGGGGAATTATTAAAGGATGTCATAGGTTTTAGGACAGGAGGTCGAAGGGTAAAGATGATTTGATGCGATTTATTGGAATTTATTTTAATCCTCCACCTCATTTTAATTCTTTTGACACCATTCTTCAAGGTTTGTGATGTGTGATTGAAGAGTTTGGGATGCAATTGATGAATCGTTATTAACCGATAGGACACGTGTGTCATCGGCATACGTGGTGACGACAGTGTTGGGACTTTGACTTTTAGAGCTTAATAATTTCTAACAAGTTCACTTAGTAATACAAGTGGTGTGAAATAGAACGTGGAAATACCGCTCAGATCAAGAATACCATTGAAATAAAATAATTTTCCTTAAAAAATATTTTTATTTTATTTTCCGCTCATTAGTATTTAAAAGACGGACGGGCACTTTTACTTGATGCTTCTCTTTCAGTCGATTTCTCATTATTCTTCAATATTGAAAGACCAACTGACTTTTCGCGGCCCTTAATCCAAATTGGAGTAGTACCGCATTGCAGTACTGTATTATCCTGCTGAAAAAATTTGGTTTTCATCTTGTCAATATGATATATATATCCTAAATAGATATTACATTTTTACTTACAAACAAGAACAATAATTCTATATTATATAATTTACACATATCAATTATAGTGAATCATCAAACTTTCTCCATAACCTATTTTTTGTTGTAAATTTAGACATTTTTGTTACAGGATCACCTATATCTAAAAAAAAAAACTATTTTTTCCAATAGTACTACTTCACAGAAAACTAAGATAATAGACAGTAGTACAGATGGCTTTTTATCCAATTATTTACATCCGGCTGAAACTCGGTAAATAGTTTCACCTCATCATAACCTACAAATATTTTATATAGGAAAATTCTCGAAATCGGGGCGTTTTCAATATGGAGAATGGCAAACCTTGTCTATTTAATTAGGCACTAAAAACCTGTAAATACTCATTTACTTTTCATTTGGATCGTAAGATAACTTGAGCACTAAGTCGAAAAAAAAACGTGCCCTACAAAAATATTGAGCCGTTTGGACTATATAACCTCGTTATTTTCACAATTTGGGGGTGTAGCTCATAACAAACGGCCCATTATTTTTGAAGGCCTCCTTTCTCCTCGACTTTATCTTACGATTCAAATGAAAAACAAATGGGTATTTACGAGTATTGAGTACCTAATTAAATAGACAAAGTTTGCAGACCTCCAGATTGAAAACGCCCCAATTCCGAGAATTTTTTTTTTTTTTTTTTTTTTAATTTCTTTATGACATTTACAACTGTATTACATAAATACATCAAGTATATTTGGACATAATTGATATAATGACATGAATACACTTGCTGAGTAACTACCCAATGGTAGCACTCTAATGATATGACTACATTAGGAGATCACGGGGCCATCTTCTTTTCAGACGCCTCGGAGGGTTATCAGGAATTGAAGAGGAAGCAAGGTTAGAAACGAGAGGGTTGGGATGATTCTGAAGTTTATTATGGAAGGATAGGTATCTGGATTGGGCCAGATCTGAAACATAAGGAACATTAAGATCTTTATGGATAATTTTATTAGTGACAAAGTAAGGAGCATTGAGGATTTTACGAAGGATTTTGGATTGTAAGGATTGGATGCGAGAGGAATTCGATGGTTTAGTGGAGCCCCATAGCTCAACTCCGTAAGTCCAAATAGGTCTTATTATAGTCAAGTATATGAGTCTTTTGTAATTAATGGGAAGTTTAGAGCGTTTGTCTAGTAAGTGCTGAAGTAATCGGAAACGTCGAGCGGTTTCTTGTCGTTTCAGTCTAGTATGAGGATTCCAAGTTAGTCGTTTGTCCAGGTGGAGTCCTAGATATCGGATTTGCTCAACAGGGATAAGTGGAGTATTGTTAAAGGAAACTGTAGGACAGGAAGTCGTTGGTTTACGAGAATTTTCTTAAATAAAATTTGTAGGTCATGCTGAGATAAAGCTATTTACCAAAAACAAAATTATCTACATCCTGTGTTCGTAAAGGTCTACAGCTTGGTCTAAAAATCGAAATTTTTTTCCTGCTCGATTACAAAGGTTGATTATTCAAAATAGTAAACCAAAACTAGGATTTACCAAAACTTACGACTCTAACAAAACTTTCTCCCATTCGCCAAATGCTCGTATATGTAGTTCCAAATACTCTATTCGTATAGTAGACATCGTTGTTTGATTTAATATATCCATTGATTGTGCCTGACTCAGGTTGACAGCGGCGCAACTACAGGTAAGATGCCACAAGCTGCGGAGCTCTTGCTAACTCATTTGAGAAGTTGCTGAACCGATGTTATGGAACTTGATGTAGTAGTCGCTATTAGGTTTCCTCCTTGTTCGAGAGCATTAACTGTTGTCCAACAAAGACTCAACTCGCTAGTGTTGTCCTAGATCGGGGTGCACTCGGAGCACTCAGGGATATCAGCAGATCATGGATAGCGTCAAGTTGCTCTCGTCGTCCAATAGTTAACTTCCAAAGCAGCAATGATTGTGGACTTTTATAATTGTATAACATAAAAAACCTGGTGCGCGCAACACACAACTTTCACTAACCGCTCTACTTTGAAAAGCAATTCTTGTCTGGCATAAATTGGGCAGTTACAAGAAGTTTTGAAGTGCATTTTCAATGTAGCTAAACTTAAAACAACATTTTTTTGAATTTCGGTCATATTTATCGATACAAAAACATATTAAGGCCGTCACAACAACATAAACCCTATTTATAACATCGACTGTAGCCTATGAAAACCTTAGAAGTAACTCCATCAGTATCTTTGAATCACATAACTCCAGCCTCTGAGCTCTATAGACTAACAGACATTTGGAAGTTACTAAATCTATATCTTTTTACTTTCCTACCTATACTAGGTAAGAAAAGTATAGCAATCGGGTCAAATTTTCGGTTTTCAGTTGTCAGGTTTTCGACGGATCTATACGTTGAGTCCGAAAAACACATTTTTAGCCATTGTCTGTCTGTCTGTCTGCCTGTGCTGTAGTTTCTCGGAAACTACTGAACCGATTTTGATGCTTCTTTTTTTATTTTGTAGGGTTTTGACTACCCATGCCTGTGACAGAAATTCGATGCTCCATGCGCAATAGCTTGCGCGCAATAAATGAAAAACATGTTTTTCTATACACTGTAACGCTAAAACGGATTTTGATGAAACTTTCCTATAATGTTCTAATCATTGTCTTTTCAATTTTCGTATATAGACTAAATTACCGGAAAAAATCAGGAAAAAAGTTATAAAGAAAAGAAAAATGTTATAGGGCCTAACTTCCTAAGTATATGTTACATGGTAAAATTTATAATAAAACTTTTGAAAGATAATTAAATTACCAACAAAACAAAAAAAAAATCATCCGAATCGAACTAGTATTAGCGATGATATAGCTTATTCTATTTTTTACACATTTTTAAATGCATTTAAATTCTTATTTTTTGGTGTGAATGTATTCATTTATCACTATAATCATTGTTTACGAGACAGAATATTATATGTCTAGATAAAATAAAAAATAAAATAAAATAAAAATATATCATTTTTAATAATGGCACACTTTACAATACAAACTTAGTTTGTCTTCATTATAAATTATTTTTATTACTATGACTACTTGATGTCTTAAGATTGAATGTGTATATGTCTATGCTAAATGTAGAAAATAAAGATCATTTTCGGACTCGGCACATAAAAAACATAAGTATCAGCAGAAATTACCAATTTCCAAATGTTCCTTTATTTCAGACCTGTGTTTTTTATTTTTCTTAAAAATAATATAAAAGGGGATATATATGAATATATATATAGTCTCAAAAACGGACTTCTTCGATACAAAGACGACATCCTTGAGAGAGCACACAACTATTATTTTTCAGCCGACATACAAAGAACTTTAAACTTCACTAACCACCCTTTATACAGAATGCTATGCAGTTACAATGCTCCCGATCCCGAAACGTACCTTACATTCAAAGTCCACATGAAGAAATTGAGATGTGATAGTCAATCAAGAGTTACAAACCCAGAACATATCAGAATCTATGCAAAAAACAGAACATTTTCGATCGAGTCTCAAGAAACCTGTATATCATGCAGTCAATTTATCAACAATAGTCTACATCACATTCTCCTTCACTGCCCAGTGTACAATGACTATAGACAAAAATTCCTTCAAAAAACTTCATCTCAGAATCTTCTGATAACCGCAACGTCGAATCCATATTTAATATCGATTGTATAGATAAGTTAAATAAAGTTTACTATTATATGATGGGAGTAGACAAAATGCATACACAAAATTGTCTTCATAGCCATGTTGTATTTACAAAAGAGTAATATTTTGTTTATATTTATAGATATTTTTTATTGTTTATTGTTTCTATCATAGTAACTGGTTCATATAACTACTATTACGCAGTAATCGTTTTATGTTTTTAATTTTTATGGTTATTCATGTTTTGTGAAAACCATTTTAAACGTTAAATATTGTAAATTTTATTTATATCTAAATTATTTGTATGTAAAACCATATTATTGTAAAATAGCCAAGCTAGGCTCTATTTGTATAGAGAACCTCCTTAAAACAAATAAAATATATATCTATCTATATATCTCTCTATCTATATATATATATATATATATCTTCTTTTTTTATTCCTATAAATAAATTGTTTAAATGATAAAATGTATTATGTATTTGCTTAGATACCTCTTGCTGAGCTCAGGAGAACCTGGGCTGCTCGCTGGCGATCGAGGGGCGGTGCCTCCTCAAGGAGTCCTGGTCCTCCTCGGTGATGGAGATGTCCCTGAGGGAGGGCCTGGCGCCTCGCCTCCAGCCGTCGGGGACCGCCGGGACCACCGTCTTCGTGAGCAGCCTCGAGCCGGTGGCGATGATGAGGATGGCGCCCACCGGGGCCGCAAGGAGGATCGACATCACGCAGATCAGGGCCACCGTGCTGGCGTACCCGGGTTCCGGGCCGTCCCGGCCTCGCACCAAGTCCACGGCGATCGGGCCCAGGGCCGCCTGCGATCAGGAGAGGGGGTATGTATATCTATATCTAGTATCTGGGGAGTATCTAGAGGAGTATCTAGAATCTAGGGAGTATCTAGCTATATCTAGTATCTAGGAGAGTATCTAGCTATATCTAGAATCTAGGGGAGTATCTAGCTATATCTAGTATCTAGGAGAGTATCTAGCTATATCTAGTATCTAGGGGAGTATCTAGCTATATCTAGTATCTAGGGGAGTATATACACTGACAGGCAAAAAATTCCACCCAATTGATTTTTTCAATATTTCTGCTTCGGATTGGTCTATTGTTTTTAATGAATAAATAGGTAATCTTTTTGTTTGTTTTCAATTAGCAATGTTAATATAGAGGACAATAACCCTTAATCCTTAATTCAATGAAATGATTCTAGATTCCAATGTTTACTTTCTATGGAATCAAAATGTTTATTCAGTATCATTAGTTCAGTGCCGTTTCTTGCAGCACATTTCTTAGTCTCCGGCTTTTAATTTTTTCAATATTAAGTTTAAAAATGCCTCTTAGTGCTGAGGATGTTGCGCGTGGTGTGGCACTTATTGATGATGGACGTTCCATTAGATATGCAGCTAATGCCATCGGAGTTCCATATGAAACTTTACGAGACGCCGTCAGGCGTTTTCAGGAAACTGGTTCTTACAATAGAAAGCCCGGTTCCGGACGGCCTAGGGTAACAGAACCACGGGATGACCGGTTTTTGACTTTGAGAATTTTACGAAACCGGCACCTTACCGTTGTTCAAGCGATTCATCAGCTCGAAGAAGTTCGAGATGTGCAAATTGCTGAACGTACCTCCCGAAGAAGATTAAATGAGTATGGATTAATGGCTTTTCGTCCAGTAAGAGGACCAGAGTTGACCAGAACTCACAGAGTAACACGGCTGGCTTTTGCTCGAGAACACAGCCATTGGACTATGGACGAATGGAGTGCTGTACTTTTTACAGATGATTCAAGATTCGCTCTTCGATCTCCAGACAGGCGTGAAAGGGTGTGGAGAAGAAGAAACGAAAGATATGCAGCCTGTAATTTTTCTCAGAACCAACCGTTCCAACGTGGTTCCTTAATGGTGTGGGCTGGGATTTCAATGGTGTGCCGCACAGAATTTGTTGTTGTTAGTGGAGGGTCTTTGACGGCCATTCGCTATGTAGATGAGATTTTGGAACCTCATGTGTTGCCTATCCTCAACGAAATCGGCGATCGTTTTATTCTAATGCACGATAATGCACGCCCACACGTAGCCCAAATAGGGCAGACTTTCCTTCAACAGAACAATATTGATGTTTTAGCCTGGCCAGCACGTTCTCCAAATTTGAATCCCATTGAGCATTTATGGGATGACCTCGGAAGACGAATAAGAGCGCGTGCAACACTTCCTGATACACTACAGGACCTTGAAAGGGCTCTTCGGGAGGAATGGACTATCCTCCAGCAAAGGGACATTTCCCGACTGGTGGAAAGTATGCCGAGGCGTCTTCAAGAAGTAGTGAAGGCCAGAGGAGGAAACACGCGTTACTAAATGATGATGTAATTAATTTCTTTTTGAATAATAATGGTTTGTTTTGGAATCTTGGAAACATTGGAATCTAGAATCATTTCATTGAATTAAGGATTAAGGGTTATTGTCCTCTATATTAACATTCCTAATTGAAAACAAACAAAAAGATTTCTTATTTATTCATTAAAAACAATAGACCAATCCGAAGTAGAAATATTTTTAGATGAAAAAATCAAGTGGGTGGAATTTTTTGCCTGTCAGTGTATCTATATCTCGGGGTACTATTAAAACAGGCCACATTTTATCTTTATTACACCTTAAGCGGATAGCTGGCCGAAAATTGTATCTGAGCGTATAAAATAATAATATATTGATTATTGTTTTTGTAAAATAATAATATTTTAATCATTATTTATAAATAAAAATAATAATATTATTTATAAATAATGAGTAAAATACCTTTCATTCAGGTTACCAGACCTACGATTAGGGGAGAATGTGGTTGATTGTTGTGACTGACAAAATTCATGTTTTTATTTTCTATGCAAACTTTGGTTAATGTATCGAAAGTCGAAATCCAATTAAATTTCAATTCAAACCACCATGGTAATATTTTAAGTTAGTCGAATTCAGCTATGATAATATTCCTGTCCATTTAATTAATGCAAACATGATTCTAGATGTCCCTTTTTAGATACAAATCAGAGCTAATCTTTCGATTCATTGACTAGGTGTATTTATAAAATCAGACAAATATATTTATATCTAAGATAAAAATTTAAATGTTTAATTTTATAACCAGATCCAAAGAAATTCATTCCTTCATATATTAGCGTTTTGGAAACGTACTTTTCATTTCGGTTATGTTTTGGAAAATATTTTAGAATATGGAAAATTTATATTATTTTGTTTCTTAAATAAACAAAATACCTAATTGAATAGGTTCCGATATGCTCTGTCCTTCATACGATAATATAACCAAAGGACTATTTTATATTTAGCCTTTTCTGTGAAAAATTTAAACGCTTGATAATTTAGATATGATTTATTCTAAAAACACAAAATACATACTTGATGTTTTAAAATAGTAATTAAAATATTCTTGGCACAGTTCTCTTTTAATATAATAAATCCTATCTTTTGGCGCTGTTTCCCTAGTGTAAATAACACAAAACTATTATCACATAGGCTGTTTGGTAAATGTCTATTTTTTAAAGAAACTTACATGAGTGGAGTTTTTTATGTGAGCTTTCAATTTTAAACAAGACTTTAACGTATGTTATTTTTTAATGAAAAACAATGTCACCATTTAAAAAGCGAGAAAAATGCTATGAGATATTCTAACTCGATTTAGGTGAAAAATACCCGCCTTTAAAATCAGACTACTGAAATGTTCTTGCTATCTTTGAATACTAAATTACTATACTAGCATGGTTTTCTCAAATCAATAAGTGAAATGTCTTAGGAGAGTTGCAATATAAAAAAAGGCTGGTTACTGAAGAACTCCAAGATTGGAAGTTGAATAAATACAAAACGACACTGACAAGAAATGAGAAATTCTAGAGGATGGTCTTTGTTGAAATTAAATGAAATAGGTTCCATAAATAATTGCCATTTATGGAGAATCTTATCTTAGATGATAACAGAATATCCGCAAATAATACAGATATTGGTTAGTAATAAATTAAATGATTGTACAAATCAATATTTGTAACTTATAAATTTATTTGTGAGAGCAATTACCTGAACTGAAGCCTTTGCCATGAGAGAGATTCCACAAAATATTTTCTCCTTCAGATTCAAGGAAGCCCCAAAAGCTACGAGTACAGTCAATAGAATTCGCAGCTGAAAAAGAAACAAACAGTAAATGTAATACAATATATATAATTACATAAAATGTAATACATTACTTGTAAAATTATAAATAGATCTATTTTAATAGTTATGGGTTAAAGGATGGATCAGTTATAATGTTACCTAAAAATAAGGATACCTATGATTTCAGATAAGTATTAAACAAAAATATAGACTTTCGTTTCACTATGAATTATTATCACAATACGATAATTTATTTAAAATATTAATTGACAGCTCTATTTAAATCCTTATAATTTGTCTAAATGGGAATATTCTCCCATGACTTTATTTAAGCCAACGCAACCGATGCGATGTATTCATCACTAAATCTGATGATCCTTAATTCTTGAAATAGATTTTTTTCGCTAGTAAGCCTCGTTTTGGAGTTATAACTCAATTATGGAAAAAAATCCAAAATTCCATTTTTGGGTTGACCTCCAGTTTACATTCTGCTGGATTCATCTAACAGAAGTGATTATTTCCCGACAACCTGGTAGCCGGGGTTTCGAGGAAAAAAATAATTATGAGTTCGCGTCCCGGTGCCAGCGGGAGCTTTTAACTCAGGCAATTATCCCTCGCCCTCACCACTCTGGCCCGGGAAAAACCTAGTATAGCCTAAAAGGCGAGGAAGAGAGAAAAAAAATTAAAAATAAAAAGATAGGACTATTTCCATGTTTTTCTACATAGGTTCCGGGACTTTTAAATTGGTAACAATATTGGCAACAAATAAGAAATCTCTTTAGGCTTCAACGACAAAGTATTACACAGACCTAAGAAATAAATATTCGATTGTAACATACAAAATTAAATCTACGTTTAAATTTAGATGGATATGGTGGAGAGCACCGAAAGCTCCTAAACATAAATATATCAGACTGTAAAAAGAAGGGTGGTTTTTCTTACTTTGGATTCATAAAATATTTGCAATTAAATATAGATTGGAACCTTACTTCTTTTATTTAATAATTTAAACTTCTTACAAGAAGTGGCCAAAATTTTAATTTTCTTTTCAATTATGATGGAGATTTGATTATATAAATGATAATTAGAAAAAATGTGGCAATTTACAAATGACACTGAGATTTGGATATTAAATGATTTAGTCATATTGTAAATTAATTATTTTTAGGTAAAATGAAGTAGTGATGACATCTTAACAGTTTTATGGTATTAATACACAAATAATTAACTAATTGTTTTATCTAATTTGCATATTTTATTTCGCCAAACACGAACACCGAAAAATACTGTGTAGGTATCTTAATTATATTTTGATAGAGACTACTTCAATAACGTAAAAACATTAAATTCACGATAAAATATAATTGTGGAATCATGTTAAGTAATAATAATGTTTATGATATTTGAAAAAAAAACCTAAGCGTGAGGGCTAGGTGAAAATTTGAAGCAAAAAATATATATTTTTCGGTTGCTTTGAAAATTCCAATTTGAGGTTTATTCGAGGTGCAAAATACAATCTCAACTGTGTTTCTCCTGATATCATTGCAAATAGTTTCAAATATACCAACTTGTTCAGAAATCAGGCCTATCTAGAAAAAAAAATATTTATTCGCAAATAAAGTTTCTTTTTCTAACTTTCGAAATACTACTGCATTATACAATATATAGGATGTCTCAAAATTAATGCCATATTAAAATTAAATATGAAACACAGTTTTTTCTTTTTTTGTTTTCTTTTTCTTAGTCAATTTAACAGCTGATAGTTTAGGGTTAGTAAAAAATGGTGCGTTACACTAGCGAACAACGTGTTTTAATTTAGAAACAATATTTTAAAAATAATGAAAGTATTGCGGCCACTTGTCTTACTTCGATATTGACACTCGAACGCCCAGTTTAACATCAGCAATTGACTCAGTCAGCTTAAAGTTATCAACCACTCCCATGGAAGTTAATAAATTTAAATCACTATTTCGACCATATTTTGTGCGATATTTTCGAACTATGGCCGCTGGACTTTCATGGTTTTTAAAATATTGTTTAAAAATGAAAACACGTTGTTCGCTTGTATAACGCTCTGATTTTACTAACCCTTAGATATCGGATTTTAAACTGACAAAGAAAATGAAATAAAAAAAAAAGAAAGAACTATGGTTTATATTTAATTTATATCTGGCGTTAATTTCGGGACACCCTTTATAAAGATAGATAAATTATGAAATGGAGTTATAAGTAGATAGTAAATAGATTACAAAATGAAAATGGTGCTTTTGCCCAAGAATTGTGAAAGATGGATCGGAGCCTCAAAGCTACGAAAGAGAATCAGAACGTGCGAAAGAAGAAGAGAAAGGCGTTGAAAGGCAGTTCCTAATGCTACTAGATTATTCAAAAGCTCTCTTCGGCTTTTGGACGGAACTCTCGTTCTAGGCCTTCTATGTACCAATCTCTCATATTTACATAATTCTCTTGTGTTTTGTTGCTTTTCGATTTTATCAAATTTTAAATATCTATGGTAGTTTTAATACAAACAAATAAAAAACCGCTACAACCTATGAAGGATTTTAGGTTCAGTACTGTGTAAGGAAGTACAGTTTCAATGCCAACGATTGGCAGAGAGGTGATCAGCACGAGATCACGTTCAACCACCAGGTTTTTCGCCTCAATTAATTATTTAATTATGTATACCCATTTTATAGAGGCTGGGTGTGCCTGGGGTCAATCAATTGCTGATGAAAAATTTGGTGTCGTCAGTCGGATTCGAATCCAGGACTTTGAGCATTGGATGTCAGCTCTTACCCACTGAGAATAGAATTTTATAACTGAGAGTATAGGGGCCATATTTTTTAATTTATATATTCTGATGTGTTTAAGCGTTCAGTGAACTATATATCGATCTTTCAGAGGTATCATAGATATTTAGTTGGTATATAATACACTGTTTTTTTTTTTAACTCCTCTTGACTTATTTGACTTCTACCATTAGTCTTCTAGCAGCATCGCGATAAGTGTCCCATGGTGACTATAGTCAGTATAATAAGAGGCATTCGGAAAGAACTACCATTTCTCTATAGCATGAGTCCTTTCGGGCTTTAAAACGCAGGACCCGTTATTTCCTCTGTACTTATACCAGATCTTGATGACCGCATCGAAACCTTTAAAACACAATTTATCTCTTCTCGATCGGTTGACTGAGTTTTGAATACTCTCATGCCCTCCCCCTTTTCCCCATTGTTTCTCCGATTACGTTGTTGAAGGAATCGAAAGATCGAAATTGGGATTCTTTATTTCTTCTTGAAATTCCCTTCCGTTTGATAGTTCAATACATACATCAAAATTCTAAAAGCCGGAAAAAAGATTTATACTAACCTATAATATGTTACATAGATTTCTTCTTTTATCATTTAGAGATCTTTTGAAAAATAATTTATTGCGAAATATTACAATTCTTCTCAATTCCCGATAGTAAAATAATAACTAAGAACTCATTCATGACTGCTTTTAATCTATTTTGAGTACGGGTTCTCTTTCAGACTCCGTTATCTCTGACTGATAGAGGCGGGTGATGAAGTGCTAACAGTCGGAAACCCTAAACCTTCTCTCGGAAACACTTTCAAGAACACGTTATCAAATGGTGGGCCCCCCCGCGCTGGTTGGGGAAGATGAGAGGTACAGATCTAGGGTTTGATTCTAATTAGCATACAAATCGACTCATCAATCAAAATCCGCCTAAGGATCTTATCGGCATGATTACAGTGCTAAGAACCATTGGCTCCATCCCATCGCTGCAAGGTTCAGCTCTACATCGAATTGAATGTCAATATATTGTCCAAAAGAAAAAGATTTTTTGAATATAGCTCAATACAATAGATGGATTAGATATTTATCTCCTTGCCTAACTAAAAAAAAAATTTAATCATCGATTAACAAAGAGGAACACTTTTTATCTTCCCTCTTTTTTAAAAAAAAATGTATTGTCCTCTTCTTCTTGTAAACCGTCTAAGTGAAGTAAAATTATAATATTGTAGTTAATAAATAATTCCACCTCGGGAATTTGTTCCAAGTTTCTCCCGTGTATTCAATTCAATCTTTATTTGTTTTAAGGGAAGAACCCTATACAAATGTAGTCTATCACAAAATAACAAACATTATTATCCTTATAGAAATACAAATTAATTCCTTTTTATACTACATTACAGATATTACATCACTCTTAAGGATAAATTAAAAATCATATTTGGTAAAAATCAGACAGTTAAAATAGTTCCAATTACCAAATTAATATAAAATCTAAATTTGTCAACAATATACATAAATAAATACACATAAACAATAAATACACATTTAAAAAAAATATTAATATAAAACTATGTTTTGAAATTAAATTAAAAGATTACCCCTATATAAGAGAACAGACAAGAAACATACTCGGCCAGATTACATGCTGATGTGCAATATGGAATATTTGCCATAATATGCAGAGGACAATATTCCAGATTACCCTACCAACTCTCTATAATTTGATATAATTGAGATAAATATATATAATTTTCTCATACCTTCTGCAGTGGTTGGCTAAAACATTTCTACCCCATCAAGATTTCCCATACACTGGTAAATTATTAACCTTAAACTACTGTAAATTGGACATTTAAATAATATATGATGAAGTGAGTTTCTCCTATGTATCTTGATTTTAAAATACTTACAAATTGAAAATCACAAAAATAGGATTCCTTCTAAAATAAATAACTACCTAAAATTGATGTCGCTTAACATGGCTTAAATGTTAAATAATTAACTATCAATCTTTGTTACCAGTAATGAAAAAAGGATAAATATAATTTTTTATAGAATTTGATGCATGACAAAAGGAGAAAAAAAAAAGAAACATGTTTATTTAGATCAAAAATGAATCTCCGGAAATAATAGACAGAACATATGGGTATGATATTTCGTCGGAAACTGAAAATGTTATTAAAAACATTATCTAATATATAAAAACGTAGAAGGTAATAGAGGAAGATGAAAAA